CCAAGTTGTCTATAGTAACCCAATGGAACTAGGAATGTCTTCCTGTTATTCTGGCCGTCCACTGTCAGTAGATATTATAATACATTAGAGAGTTTGAAGGGACATACCTATCATATTACAGAGATAATTATCTGCATGTTTGTAGTCATATGTAAATCTGTGTAGTCTGGGTCTGTACAGTGTTTGATTGACATGGACGGAAGAAGGGACGACACGCTGCAGGTTTCGGTGTGTTTGTGTGTGTGTGTGTGTGTGTGTGTGTGTGTGGTTGTGTGTGTGTGTGTGTGTGTGTGTGGTTGTGTGTGTGTGCGTTGTTAGCCACACCTTAATAAAGCAGTTCAGTGGGACAAAAGCTTTAATACAGCATTAGTGCAGGAATCTTTAGGTTGTGCTTATGAACAAGTACAGAAAACCTTTTTAAAAATATGAAACAATTGCTAAAGTGATGTGACTGTACATTTCTGACCCCATTGTGTTGTTTGTTGGTATATTTCTCAGTGGTCTATTGGTTGAGTTGTAAATACCGCTTCACTAAGCTGATACCTAAACAGTAAATGTCAGATATTTTGCCATGATATTCAGGGTCAACTCAAAGCCTTGTGGTTGTGATTGATTGGTCTCTTATGTTTAATTAAATGATAATGTGTATAGATTTTATACTACTGCCAAATACAGCAGTAGATACCATTTACCTTAAAAACCACAGTATCAAGTTTCAGCTTTTTATAAACACCAATGAAAGAAATCATATATATCATATATCCTATCATATAATACTGTATGATGTTGGACCAAAGCTAATGCAAAGATTTGGGCACTCTGTTGAAGCTGTGCTTAATGTCAGGAAGCCATTAATCACACACACACATACACACACACACATACACACACACACATACACACACACACATACACACACACACATACACACACACACATACACACACACACATACACACACACACATACACACACACACACACACTTGTTAATAAGCACAACCTAAAGATTCCTGCACTAATGCTGTATTAAAGCCTTTGTCCCACCCTGTCACCAATGAACTGCTTTATTAAGGTGTGGCCAACGCACACACACACACACACACACACACACACACACACACACACACACACACACACACACACACACACTGCTAAAAGATACATGTTGCTATGGCAGATATGCATCTGCAGATGATTGGTCTGTGTGCGCTTCTGTTTAATGCTTAGTGTAGTTGAGTCATTTGTGTCACCTGAAATATTGATCGATTATATACCAGAATATTGTTGTACTGTATATTGTTGGAAGTTGTTGTTACCTGTTTTAGGAAAATTCATAAACACAAGTGAGACAGTACTGTTTGTTCTTTTTGTTTTTTGTTTTTTTAATTCTTTTAATTCCGTGTCAGTATCTTTTGTGTCTTATGAAACACCTCATCAGAAACATCAACTCCTCTCCACTTAAAAAATGAAAACATATTTAACTCTGAAATGTGTGTCTGATTCACTTAAAACTCCTAAAAATAAATAATTCCTTAAAAAGAACATTGAATTAAAACAAGATACATGTGGTTATTAATAAATACATTGTAGACATATTGTCATATATTGCTTATATATAAACAGATGATCAGATGGATAAGAAGAAAGACAGACACAATAGTGATAGAAAGAGAGGCGTCAGTGGATGAACACACAGACAGCGTCTCACAGCTTTTATCCAATCTATTTTTGTTTCTGATTGTACCCACCTCCTTCCTGCTTCACTCTTCCTTCACCCCTCCCACCTTTCTCACCATCTGCTGCTGCGTTCACTGGGTGTTTTTTTTCTCTCTAGTACCAAAGTGTTTTGTCACTGTCAAGACAGACAGCATGAAATTTTAATATTGATATCTGTTATACTGATGAGTGTGTCTTCACACATTCACTTCACACTTGATATACACTGATGGCAAGAATATGTTTGACTGCTCTGGGATTCAGCCTCAATTGATCATTTTAATTAATTAATTGATCCTTCTTCTGGTTTAAGGAGGAAGGGGTGGAGGGTTGTTGTTGTCGGATGAAATAAATAAAAATACTTGTGTATCTAATTTCATCTATTTTCCAGTTTTTGACTTCTGGAGTTCGCCCTTTTTCATGACATTATGTTTGTGATATACTAATAAAAAAAACATATACTTGTGTTTTCTCTACGTCTTAAATAACAAGGTGTACCACAAGGCTCAATCCTAGGACCAAGTCAACACTCAGTGCACAGATGTTGTATTGATCTATAATGTTATGCAGATGATGCTCAACTATGCCTTTTAAGTAAGACAAATTACATCATTGTTTCAAATAGGATGTCTTAGAAATGTCTGCAGTTTAACTGATGCTCTTGGCATAGGACATCTTTGATTTTATATCGACAGTAGTTCAGCATCAATATCAAGGCAGTATATAAAACTTTAGGCAACAGCGAGAACTACAAAAAATACAAACTCTTATTTAGTCATGTTCATGAGTCGAAGCAGAAAGTTGAAGTAATGCACCAAAAAGTTGTTTGCCAACCACCAAAAATCATCAGAAGAAGGAGAAGAACTGTGTTTTACAGGGGCACCTTGCATGTGAACTGACATCATAGTACATCTTTTACCTAACAACTGTAATGAAGCCAGTGGAAGAGTTATATTTGTAGACCAATCTGTTTATAGTGGTCCTGCTTTATGACACATTGCTAAATTGTTTTTTTCTTGGCTTTTAAAAGTAGTCTCTGTCTGTGGTTCTGTAGTAGTGTACAGTAATAAGTGATTGGGGATGGATGGGTAGGAGGAGGTTCTACTAAAAAAGAATAGCTCAGCGGTTCTTTTGAAAAAATAAAGAGGTGAATGTCAAGTAATTCACGTTAATCTGTCTGAACTGAACTGTTCTTTCTGCTTACAACAAAAGACAAAATAAATAGATAATGATAATGACAAATAAACCTGTTTCTTATTTTTTATTTATTTTAGTTATTCATTTTTTACCAATAGGGATTTTTTGGAAGATTTTTCTATTTTGTCCATACAGAACTTTACTACTTTATAATTATTCCATTACTTGTTCCTCTGGTTTCCAAAGTGTCTGTACACTGATTAAAGCTCAATATCATTATAAATTGTGTACTCTGTAAGTGGGTATGAAAATTGGATTAATAAGAATTTCCGTTAGTATCAACAACAGGATTATCCCCTGCCTTGCAATCCCAATTTATACCATACATAACTCAAACATGCCCAGATGAAAACTGGATTGGTTTATCCTCTGGAATGTTGTTCATCCGGCCCATCGAAACACACACACACACACACACACACACACACACACACACACACTACCACCTCACCCAACTCAGCTGACATAATGTTCAGAGGCAACACCCCACCATCTCGAACACACCCTTACTGTAGATCCTTCATAATGATGAGATACCCTGAGGTGAAACTGTAATCTTTTACATTCACCACCAAGATACATTGAGAGAGACTCATTCATTCCCATTTTAAAGGGATCAGGAATCAAAATGTCTCATCTCCTTCTACATTATGAGATTGTTGTTCATTGTTGTTCTCTTGGATGCACACTTCCAACATTTGGAAACGTTGGTATCTTTTTTACAGAAAACTTTATGGTTTTTAATGTTTTCTTGTGCAACATTAGTCTGTAATGTTAAAAAGTCTGCAGTGTTGGCATGAATGGCCTTTTAGAAATGCGCTTCAGGTTGGAAGGTCATTGATTCAAATCCCTACACATTTTTTTCAAGCTTCCCTCAACAAATGTATAAGGCGTGGTTAGGCAAAGCAATCAACCCCCAGTGACCAGCAGTAGAAAAATGTGGTTGAACTGGCCTGCTCCCAGCTGAGTGAAAGAAAATGCAGACCTTCACAGACATCTTTTAGATGAAATTTGATGCTAACATGATAAAAAGGGTTGTAAATAAAATTAAATGTGCCATGTTTATGTGGGCAAAATAGAGCCAAGAGACATAAAAGCATCAAATTTGGCATCAGTCACTGCATTGTCTGCAGTTTGGATAGCCAGGCTTCTCAACGTTGCATCTATCACCAACTCCTAGTAGCCTAATGTTTATTACTGGCAAAAAATCAAATGTTGCTTTGATTTTCTTTGGGTGAATGTATCCAGGTTTTAATGTCTGTTTGCAGCACCACCCTTCCAGGAATAGTTTGACATTTTTAGCATCACACTTATTTTCTTTCTGGTGGACAGTTGACCTTGATCAGGATTGATACCACTCTGTCTGTAAATAGGGCCGTCAATCAGATATCATACCAAATTGGTCATTCTACACCTTGGTGTTATTAAACCAACTTAATTTACTTGTGAGCTTCACAAGTGTTAATAGGCAGATTTTGTTTTCTTTGGACGGAGCTGTTAGCTGTTTGCTAGCTAGCTGGTTACCGTAGACTTCACTCTTTACAAACGTACAGCATTCATAGTGACATAATCCCACACAAAATCATGCAGAACAGCTCAAAAATCTTCCTTTAACACAGCCTCTCAGGGCAGAGCCTTATATGTGTTTGTGAGTTGCTTCATTTGACAAATGTCATTGGTTTGAGTGGGCGAGTTTTTAATGCTTTGTTCTTTGGCGGCTCCTCTGTGCAGATATGAAAAACATCCATGAGAAATGCCCTGAATTCTTGTCATATTTTGGGAATGTGTGTTAATGTGTGTAAACTGATGTTGCCCAGACTTCGTTCATGGCCTTCCAGTCCCATCTGAGGACAAAAAAAAACTATGCTTCAAGTCACACATACACACACTCCCTCGATTATTTTCAAGAAACAATAGACAAATGAAAAAGAAGAGCATAACAGTATTTGGAAGTTACACCTAAACCACAGAGTGACTCACCCTTGCTGTATATTTACGTGATTGACGGTGAGGGTGGGGATGTGGGTGTGTCCAGGGAAAGGCTTGTAGAGGTACAGGTGTGACAGGTGGATATCTCAGCTACAACCTATCTGGACTCTACATCAGCAGGATCAAACACACATCTCAGCATAGTGACAGCAACACCTGGCCAAGGTAAGAAATGAATATGTGTACGGAGAGAGGACTGGATTTTATACTGCAGTAGTGAATATAGGGTTTATAGTGTTTAGTGTTTCTCAGGTTTGTAAGAAATGATTGAAAGGTGAAGATATAACAGCTTTGTCATTTGTGCCCATACGATGGCAGAGATGATTTAACTTGTAACTATCTTACACAAAAAATGGGTTTGATGACAGAAAAAGAAAAATGACAGAGTACGTTTTGGCCAATTTTAATGTTAGTTTGTTAAAGTTATTCAGCACAAAGGAAATCAAAAGAAAGTTAAATGCTCAGGCTGCAAAGGTGATTGGATAATTATACAAAAGTAGATATAATAAAAGAAAAACGCAGCCCAAGTGCAATGTACAGTATTTTGTTTCTCAAAGAGAGAATCCTGTTAATGAATTTATTGTGACCTAAATCTGTTATCTCTTTACTGCTGGATCATGATGACAGACACAACAGGTTTTATAGGCTCCAGCTCAGCCTGGAGGAACATTTCAGACAGGAAGAAATTGTTCATGTTCACCCCCTATTTCATAATCTTTCTATTTGTCTTTTTTTGTGTATTTGGTATTTGAAGTTTTGAACAATATGTACAGCCATGGGTGTTGCCCAGGGTGCATGCAGCTGTGATAATAGCCCAGCTCTTGTTGTGTGACGTTGAGTTTTTCTGTTTGGAGAGAAATTGTCATTCACCTGAACTGACTGCTCCTAACTGTGTGGGGATTGAGCTCCTGGTACATGTATGTGTGTATGTGTGAACACATCTGATTTCTATAGATTAACAGGCAGTCAAAAAACTGAAGAAATGATAAAGAAAGTTTAGTCAGAGAGTATTTAGTCAGAGAGTATTTCGGAATGGGTCGGTCAGTTGTAAACTCATTTCAAAAGCCACTTTGCTCTAACCACAAATTAGTAAAAGAGAGATATTTTGGATGTTAATGGACTTGATCTAATGTTTCTCTGGATATGTATGGTTGTTGTTCTAATGCAATTTTACTTTCACATGTCCCTTTGCTGGTCTCTCTCTTGATGGCAGTCACAGATAGTAGCAGCAGTATTGTTAGCAAATTTAGTGCTAAGAGTAGTTGTTCCAGCAGAGGACAAAATTATTTGTTTTTTTGTCCTTTTTTCCATTTTTGTGTCTGACTTTTTAAAGCTTCTGGCAGAAGTCTTTTAATTTCCTCTAAAATACATGTTTGGATCAAATTTCTTTTTATGTGAAACAAATATACAGCCTGTGGGGTGAGCCTGTGTTTTGGCTGATTGAGAATTGAGGTGAGACTAACGATCATGAAGCGATAAGCGGTTAATTGGGTAATTTCCACATCTAAACTACCCCTTTCTTTGTCATTAAAATACATTCTTCCTTCCCACTCTCTCTCACATAGACTCAGAGAGTCAGGTTTGCACAGATGTTTATATAGACTACAATAAGGTGACACACATGACTCAGATGTGTCTCATGGTGTTAAATCAGCCTGCTCTGCATCAGAAAGAGCAAGTTTGTGGCCGATCTACTCTTCAATTACAGCTGAAGCATTTCCCTTGGAAACTGACCAAAAGTGGCTGCCAGTGTCCAGATTTTTTCAATCAGTCTCATTCATTTCTTCCTCCATGAAGCCACACCCAGGCACCTGCTTCACTAATAACGCCTCAGAGACAGCTAGTGCTGACTGAGCTGAGGTCACTAGCCTCAGTCTTCCCTTATAGAGGGCGTTATGTTTGATCTGTAGCCTCTAACTTTTCCCCATTGGCCTTTTAAAGTATTTCTGTAATGTGGCAGTCGAATTTTCCGGAAGCTGCACCCAGTTGCAGCCTCCATCAGCAGCATTACGTCCTGTCTGATGACAGACACGTCAGCATAGGAACAATTGGGTATTGGACTTATTGATCTGTCTTTGCCTCCATCTTTCAAAATCAATTCCTCTTTTATCAAGATCTCTTGAACGCACCATGGCTTCTATAGCGACATTGCAGTGCTTCTCCAAGCACCATTTTCTCACTGATTGAAATTTACTAAAACTGAACTGAATCTTTCCAACAGCAGCAGTTTCTGGTGCAGTGGGAGTAAGAGAGTGTAAGAGTGACCAGTTGCTCTTCTACCCTGTCAGTCGGCTTTTACTGTAGCTCTTTGTCAAATCAGGCAAACTGGTTGCTGCCAAGAATCAGTCTGGAAGAAATGAACTGTAAAATGTTGACGCTGTGGAGAAACACAGAAACCATTTCTTCATTTACCAGACAGCAAAACTGACACATTTTGGGAAAACATTTAAATGTACATGAATGCCCTTTTGGGATTTTTTGGACAGTTTTTGGAGTGAAGTATTTTACCAATTTTTTGACACTATTTTTTATATGAAAACTGTCAATTACACCACATGATGTCAGGGTTTTTTTTCCCTTAAATAACCAAACTTGACAGATTTCAGTGGTTTGTGTGAGGCAGCAGTTTAGCCTGCAGTGTGTGAGTTCATCATCAGCAGGTTTGGTGACACACCCTCAGTTTCTGTCACACTGAGAAGCATGCAGCTCGGTCGCATTCCTGCACCAACATATGGGTGTATACAAGCCCTCTGTGCGTGTGTGTGTGTGTGTGTGTGTGTGTGTGTGTGTGTGTGTGTGTGTGTGTATCTGTGTGTGAGATAATGACAAAGTAGTCTGTCATCTACTGCCAATCCAAACTGCGAAGACAAATGACAAACTATGGCTACACCTCAGTGCATGTAACGAATGGTCCGGAGAAAGTGTGTGTGTGTGTGTGTGTGTGTGTGTGTGTGTGTGTGTGTGTGTGTGTGTGTGTGTGTGTGTGTGTGTGTGTGTGCGTGTGTGTGTGTGTGTGTGGGTGTGGGTGTGTGTCTGCGTGTGAAAAGAAAAGCAAAAGAAGTCAGATTGAGAAACTGCGATGCAGAGAGGATGTTACATGATAGTCAAGTTAGTGTGTGTACTGTGTGTCATTTCATGTGTGTGTGTACATGTGGGGACAGAAATCTGTTCACATACATTGAGGGGACTTCCCATTTTAGGACAAAAAGCAAGTCCCCATAACATTAATCATTATATTCTGGGCTGAAGACTTGGTTTAAGGTCATAAGTCTCGAGGGAATTAGTGTAAGTCAAAGTAATGTCCCCTGAAGTGATGGAAACACGACTGTGTGTGTGCATGAGTGTGCGTGAGAGAGAGAAAACGAATGCTTACTCGTGCTAATGTGTGTTGTTGTGTTTGGTTGTATGAAAAGGGAGACAAAAATAGAAGAGAGAACAGGAGAGAGGTAGAGTCATGTGTCTCTTTAAGCTGCGGTTTTTCCAGTATGGGATCATCCGTTTATCTGGTCGAATGATTTCAGTTTTCCAGTCGGCCTGAAAACCAGGCGGACAACAGTGAGAGTTCAGCAGAGCAGCTGTTTGGTCATGACAAAGGCTGAACTAAACCTGTTCTGTCAGAGGAACTGCCAACGTTACAGTGTGAAGTTACTGATCTGTTAATATGTGAGCAGTTTACACACTAGTTACTGCATGCAATGAATTACATTTTCCTTATTCGACACAGACATCAGAAAACTGTATGAATCCATCCAAAGAAATGGATGGAACATTTGAAAGTCGTAATGAGACAGTGTTTGGTCATTTGTAGCTCAGACTGGTGTCACATGAAAAGAGTACTAATTATGTTTTAATGAGGCCACGTCCCATTTTGAGAGATTTTTAGAGCAATCGCAGTGCCACAGACATTCAATCCTTCATTTACAGACCGAGGGGTTAACATTATTGTGAAGCCATTTTGTAAGAGTCAGTGTTAAAGTTTTAAACCTTAAGACTTCCATGAAATGAAACCCCTGTTTTTAAGATAAGATTACCCCCCCACATAGAGGAAATTCAAATTGACACAGCAGCACAAAAGAAAAGCAGCACACGGGGGGAAAATGTAATAAAGAAATTGAAAGTGAATAGAAGCAGAATCTAGAATAAATAAGATAAATTAGAAATACTATACACAATAACATACACAAATGCAAAGTAGACTTTTCTGTGCACATGCAAATATAAGAATAAATGTAAATAAAAATATACATTTTTGATAGTATTTTTGTTTTTTGTTTTTTTTCCAGCAATAGCTTTCTATATGTTTTCATCATTATTGGCGGAGTCTGCCATTCAAACGCTCAGAAGACTGACAGGAAACAATATGTAATCCAGCACACAGTACATATTTTTTAACTGTCATCTCATTGATATCAACCTCACTGTTTACTGTCTCCTAATGTCGTACCAGAGCTGTATTAAGTTACCACTAATACAAACCCAACATTTCCTACTACTGCTGCTTGAAATATACACAGTATATGTGTTTTCTTTTACAGTCAGCTGTAAATATAAGCAGTTTTATGAGTAACATTGCAGCCATATTGACCAGAGGAGTTAAATATTGTGGTGGGTGATTACTGATGAAGAATGACCAAAATAGATAAATGACAAGTAGAAGTCTAGAGGGGTCGAGTTGTATATTGAAGTATGATGACTTCTCTGGTAAACCTCCAATTTAAATATCACAAATAAAACAAATAAATCCTTGCGTCCTTTCAGCAAGTGTTAAGTCTCGCAAGTATTTCGGTGTGAACAAAGAGGCTAACGACCACACCTGAAACATGCCAGCCATCACACTCCAGACGGAGTCACACACCCACACCTTTCCCCCAAGGGTGTGGATGACAAGAAACATCCACACAAAGCAGTATACTGTATATACCCTTGGCTGACAACTAATCCATCACTTTGGGCTAAGTATGCGTCAGGAAGGAATGACAGGCGTTTCCATCAGAGCCTGGCGGAACGTTGTTAGCTCCATCTAGTGTCAATAAGTATCATCAAATGTGTTGGAGGTGGAGAGGGGATGGGAAACTGTTGTTAAAGTGCCAAGAAAGATATTAGACACGTCCCATAGGGTATTCATGTTTTTTTGTCTTTACTGCTAATGAATAACACCAATCATAACAATCCTTTTCTGTCTCTGCAGCACAATGAGTGCAGATGGAAGAAGAGAACCCCCTCCCTACATTGTACCAGGTGAGCCCAAACTCACACACATGCACACACACGTCATCTTCATCGTTGGCATCCAATTGGTTTGTGTCTTTACTTGTTTCTGTCTCTCCTCCCTTACTCTTTTTTCTCCTTCGTGTCTCTTCTTCTGGCCCAGTAGAAGGTCAGGGCGATGGAGTGAAGGTTTACCACGTGCACACGCCTTTCAACCCGGGCACACAGGAGACCCCAGGTAAATGATGATATTAAAAAACCTTAAATACAATGTATTCTAGCACATTGTTCACATTGTTGATTCACTTTCCTCTCTCCCCTGCTCTCTCCCTCCATCAGTGTACACAAGTGGAGGAGGCGGCCTCAGCGCTGGCCTCGGCGCTGGCGTCGGTGCCGGCCTCGGTTCAGGTGACTCCGGAGATGGCAGAAGAAAGTTTGTGAGCTATGACACGTCGCTGGGGCGAAATCCAGGCATGACGACCTGCACCTCCTGCCAGCAGCAGGTCATGACCAATGTCGACTACAAAGCAGGGACATACGCCTGGCTGATGTGTTTACTCTTTATCTGCTGTGGGTGAGTGTGTGGTTCGCATGTAATAGTTTGTCCTATTGGCATCGCCACACTGACTTACTTGAGGCCCCCGAGAAACAGAAACAGTCAGATTATGCTGGCATCAGGCCCCAACATCATCTGCTCTCATTCATATTTATTATTTGGCATCCAGGATCAGGTGAAACTATTGCAGCTCTCAGGTTTATCTAGCAGACGCAAAGCTGCTGCCTGGGGCACAACAGTTCGCTCATTCAGGGGCTGTAATGACCTTTAGCAACAAACCTTTTCAAAACAGTGAGCAGCTGATTTTTTTTTTTACATAAATATTTTTATGTAAAAAAAAATGTATCTAAAGAAAATGATCAAAACTACAAATGCAGGATAAAAAAAAAACCTAAAGCTAATTAAGGCATATAGCTGCATGACACTAACACTAACTGTGTGTGTGTGTGTGTGTGTGTGTGTGTGTTGCAGGTTAGTCCTGTGCTGCTGCCTGATTCCATTTTTCCTGAAAAACTTCAAGGACGCGTACCACACATGCCCACGCTGCCACAGAGTGCTGCACGTTGAGAAGAAAAAATGCTGTAAATGACAACCATGAGGGCAGAAATGGACCCAAAGAAATAAGAAATAACATCCTGTTACCTTTATCTGTGTTTGGGTTACCTGGTAAAAAACAAGCAGTGGCAGACAAAGGTCACAGTTCAAACGTAGCTTATTTCTAGGGATGAGCTTTTAGCATTAGCCGAGGTAAAATAAAACATGAATGACTTCCACATTATATCATATTTTTAGCAAATAGACGAGGAGTGATTGTGTTGTCACAGTTTAAATCTCTGGTGAGAGTAAATCAAACACACCCCATGCACTTTTTTGTTAGCCGTTTTATATTTTTCACATTTCCTACTTCATTCGAAATGAAGGTATTATCACAACTTTTGAATAATTAACAGCAACATAAAACAAGCCAATGCAATACATTAGACCAGAGCAGAGAGCAAATATTAGCATATTTTCTCATCTGCAGTTATTGCACAATAAATTTGTGTTGATATTGTTTTGTTACAAGTTTTTAATCAAAAATTTCACTCTGTAAAAACACACTCTGTAGTTCATTTGTGTTATATTTATATGTTGTCAGCCATAATAAACTCTTATAATTCTTATATGAAGGGATGAAGGGCAATCTTAGTAAGCATGAAGTTCAAAGAAAAGCTTATATCATGTACAACAGCAGCTGTAAATATGATTTTGACTTTTGCTTGGATCATTTGAATCTTTACCTCCCAACGAGGATTTGTCCATGTGTTTTGGTTACAGTGGCAAGGACAATGCAAAATTGAAGCATTACTGTTCTTTGATATGATGTGTTCACCGAGTCACTGATCAAGACATTTTGAATAATAGTAATAATGTTAATAAATAATATATTATATAACGAATAAAATATGGTCATTCTATTCATAGTTTGAATATTTAAAATCCCTTTTTGGTCATCCCAGAGAAATATGTTTTTGTCTTGTTTGCTCTTTCTTTTACAACTTCTTGAAAAAAACATCTTTCTGCTTCAAGATACAAAATAGATGTGTAATAGAAAGCAGGCGAAATATTGTTGTGAGCTTTGAATCCTCTTCATCTCTGCTCACATTGTCCCCTGGATGAAACTGAGTATGCTTGGACTTCTGTTATGTACTATTAACTATTTTATAATATTATTATTCTTATAAAAGTAGACTATGTAGACCATACATGGTACTCTGCTGTGCTTGTTTTTTTCTTCTTTTTTCTTGCCCTCCTTTAGAGAGGTCAGAGTTCAGGGCCAACCAGCCCAGCTGTTGGTCACACAATCTTCCTCTTTTTAAACATGCTTGCAAAAAAATTTAACTTTGAACATCAGCTTTTACTCGACACCTGAGCAAACCGTATCGCCTAGGGTCCAGAACAGCTACTAAATGGACTTTGTGTGAGATTGTTTTGTCAGCAGCTGTTTCCATTGGGCATGAATTTTCAGTCTCAGATGTTTCTGCAAATGCTTTGCATACATAGCAAAGTAGCCAACAATGCCAGTGATGTAAATGTGCTGCATTAAGTTATTAGCCATGCTAGTAGCTGTAGTGTTGGTAGGTCTGACTGGTCATGTGTGAAACAGCATGTACAGCATATAGCATATAGCATATAGCATATAGCTGGCCAATACTTGGGCCACATAGTGTTTCCTCTGGCTCAAAACATGCCTGGTTCCTTGGCCCAAGTTCGGCCCTCATACAGCATGACTGTCATTTGCCATTTCCATATCCAAGCCAGTTCTGGTGCACACACAGAAAATCCCCAAGCTTTCAGCCAACACTGAAGAGTAACATCTGGAATCAGCCCAGGTGTGTAAGTACATGGGCCAGAATCGGGCCAAGTTCTCAGGCATATGTTGGGCCAGACATTTTATCTTGTTTCCTTTAACAGACAGGCAACAACAATGTGCACTCTTCCGCGAACGATCACTGAGTGAAACATCACTGTCAGCTTGTATCTGGACCTGAGCCTGTGAATGTGTCTTAGGATCCTCCAACGTACTGTATGGCTCTGTAGTTTATGAAAACATTAACGGGCTGTAGGCGAGTTTTAGATGTCTCTGAAAATTCTCAGTCATCTCCAAGTCAAAGGCAACTTTAAACGTTAAATAATTCCACATTTTGGGAATGATGCTTATTAGCTATTTTGTTGAGTTAGACAATAAGATCGATGTCACAATCTTGTTTGCCAGTTAAATACATGGTTACTGCTAGCAACTGCTTAGCTTAGCACAGCACACACAACTGGTCCATATCTTGGCTCTGAGCAGTTGTCAGGCAACCAGATGAGACTCCCCATAACCCTGAGCTTCAGAGGTGCTCATGAGCTGAATTTGTTACCTTTGGACAGTGTCAGGCTAGCAGTTTACCCTTTTCCAGTGTTTATGCTAAGCTAAGCGGTTGCTAGCTGTAACCTTGAATATGCAGTACACACGAGAGTGGTATCAATCTTATCATCCAAATCTCCACCAAAAAACTTCAGTGTTTCCCAAAATGTCAAATTATTCCTTTAACAGTGTTTCGTCCCAGTCCAACACTGATATGGACAAGCAGCAGAGTAATGTTTTTGTTTTTATAGAAAATTTTATTCAACATACATTTTCCAGCAAAAAGGCAATATACAGGAATAGTTGTCGTACACTGCTGCTACACTGAGGATTTTAAACTGGAAAAGATCAAATTAAGGTGTGATTCTGCAGGTCATCTTTGTACTGCACTTTTTAACAAGACAAAACCAATGCAGTTAGTTTTGAAAAGAAAAAAAAAAATCCAAATGTAACAGAAAAAAATCGTCAATGGTACATCAGGAACGCAAAATAAAGAAAAAAAAAACCTACACACAAGAAATATGAACACCTGGCTCCTTCTGTACCCAACAACAAAGGCGTGTGTTTCTCTTAAATTTTACACGTTCATATTTTTAAATATACAATTCTTAAATGTTGTCTTTACAGAGCCAGCTATACGCTATTAGGGGAGCATTCCATCTGTGCTTTAAAAAGAAACAAACAAAAAAAAAAAGAAAGAAAGAAAAATAAATTCATAGGGCTTTAAGTGTTTCTTACAATGCTGGTTTTGTCTCTACACAATCCTCAAACCTGTGGGCTCTAAGTGTCTGCAGCTCCCTACCAAGCACAGCGCAGTTACTGCTCCCAACCACATGGAGGCGACAGTTTCAACCAAGAGAGAAGATGGGAGGGAGACGACGAAGCTCGCGTGTGTGTTTATGTTTAGAGGAGGAATGACTGAGAAAGACATTATGACCCCCCAAAAACAATTTAAAAGAAAAGAGAAGGTCAAGGGGGTAATGTCTGTGCGTGTGTGTTCATTTTAAAGTCACTGAACAAGTCAAAACCACAACCAAAATGTACATTTGCCAGTCCTGAGAAACCTCTGACATTTAAGTGCCAACGTGCAAGATGAAATACAGACAAATTTCCTCCTTATTTTTCCCCGTTTATTTTTAAACAGATGCTGTGGATTTTTATTTTATTATACAAGATCTGCAGAAAGAGACAAAAAAAAAATTAATTCATTTTTCCTCCAACCAAACTAAGTGAGAAAGAACTGTGTGTAAACTTGGAAATACTTCTTTTTGTAGCACTAAAAGATGGGAGCAAGAAATGTAAAGAACCACATCAGGGCAACTAGTGAGCCGCAGGATGGACACCACATCGCAGCCATTATTTCAAAAGATTCTTCTGCAAAACGACCATCTGCCCCCTCCCTCTTTTTTTCCTGTCAGTTAGTCCTCGCAAACAACCTTCCATCAAACTCTCCACACAGCAGCATGATGTCTCTTCAAACAACTCTTTATTTAAAAACAACCCCCAAAATAATCTGAAGGAAAAAGAAGCTGGTGAGGTGGGAGACGAAAAAAAAAAAAAAAAAAAAAAAAATAAGTCTAGAAGTTCATATATATATATATATATATATATATATGTATAAATATATACACACACACACACACATATGTATATATGTATATATACACATACATATATATACACACTTATATTTATACTGTGTCCCATGTCCTCTCCTCTCCGCTTGTTTTATATTAAAATCCAATTTAATTTCTCCCACTTCCAGACAGGCAACAAAAAACAGGCAGTCAACAGGTAGAGAAGCCAGAAGAAAAACAACCGAACAGCCTCAAACGTAGAGGGAGACAATTAAAAAAATAAAATAAAATAAACAACAAAATAAACAGTCAGGAGGTGGTTGGTGCAGTTTATTTTGTGGTTGAAGAATAATCCGTCAGCTGCAGCAAGATCCGTATCGCTGAAGACATAGTGCCGGTGTAGAGCTGTAGAGGTGTCCAGGCAGGGTGTTAAAAGTGATGAACACACACACACACACACACACACACACACACACACACACACACACACACATACAAGCACGCACGCACGCCCCCACAGTCTCTCACACACACAAACACACACACACGGTTGGTTACAGTCTGTGGTTATGGTGTGTTAAAGTAGGTAGGGAGGAAGGCGGAGCAGGAGGAGGAAGAGGAGGAGGAAGAGGAGGAGGACAAAGAGGAAGGGCGGGCTGCTTTAGTTGTGGATCTTGATTGCTTTCTCCAGGTAGGTGTAGCGACCTCTCTTTGGAGCTTTGTTGAAATGATCCAACCCTAGCCAGGGGCGCGGGTGGGACATGTTACCTGCGAGGAAGGGGATACGTCAGAGTGGCATATGTAATTTTCAGGTGTCACAATCCTAAGGAATATTTAAGCATTTTTATCGCAAGTGATGCCAATATGTCACATGACCTTTGAGTAGTTACAGAAAAAACAAAGCTTTCTCATAATGGCCACGTTAAGAACGACATTAAAACTGTGGAGAAAAGCAGCCACTCATTAGAAGCAGGCCTCTTCATAGAAGCAGCGACATCTGGCAAGACACTGTGGTGGTGAGTCAAATAAGCACAAGCACACGTTCCTGGTACACTTTGTATATCTGTGATGTGAACACCTTATTTCTCCTGTTAACCTCCTTAATATTTTGAGAAAAATTAAAGCAGTTATTTCCACAATTGTAAAATCCAGTCTTACAGCATTATAAACTACGGTGCAACATTTTTATTTTTTCAAATCATTATTCTGTTACTCAAACGGGTCTTCCTGAGCAGGACTTTGACTTTGCATCAATATCTTAATCAGCACCAATGCAGCGCCATGTTTGTTAAAGCAGGGCTGTTTTTGGTCTGAAAGGTGCGTTCACACAATCGGATACAAGCAGTTGTCAGTATCTGGCCTCTCAGGAATCTGTAGGTGTGTTGTGTTGAGTGTGTAATTTACATACTCTACTCCGACTGGACAGTTATTTTCTGAAGTATCCACAGACAGTGTCTGTGATTTGTTTCCACACATCATTGTTCTTTATGGATCATGAAACTCTTTAAACACACATCGTAGAGAACTGGGCAGCTGGAGACTGTGACAATCTACTTTAACTCTATTTTCTCGTAGTGGAAAAGTGAATAACAATTGGCTCTTGCCTGGCTGTGGCTTGCACTGCTTTGGAGGATATTTGCATAAAGTTGAGCCTTTCACAACTTTCGCCTGTAGCGTACCCATGCGCTTTTTGACTCTGTTGAACTCAGTGGGGGGTGCAGGGCTGCAAAGCCAGGTCTCATTCACAATGAACAGCAGCTGTCTCTGTCCAAGCTTTTTGAATTCGTACGTGTGTTAGTTGTTAACTAGTTTTTGTAAAACTGAGGGCTACAGACTGATTTAAATGACTAAAGGAACAGGGGTAGCGTGTCGCACAGTGCTTAAGAATTCTAAATTATGCTTCTACGGGAATCATCATGACTGGAGCACCTATGGCTGGTGTAATCACAGATAATTCCTTGATAAGGAATCACATCTTCCAGGAATGAAAGCAACCTCATTTAAAGCACCTTCAGTAACACTTTACTTTATTTTCCCCAGTTAGCATTCATTAGTATTATATAAACATTTAATCAGTGGTTTATGTCACAACATAATGTAGCTCTAAGCAGATGCAAGTGTTGAATGCATGTAGATGTCCTGTGCGTCAACCTGTATCCTGCAATAAGTATCCATTTCTATAAAAATATCAACAGCATCTGCCAGGAATGTGCTCTTGCATATATTTCATTGGCCACTGCAGTGCCGTGCTGTGTTGCATGACG